TGATTTAGGCACATTTACAGAACAGTTTTAAGAATTGCTGCCAGGGGTTTGGGGAATGTAAGCAGTACTTACTCCAACACATTTGGAAACTTCAAGCATTATATTTCCTTGTGGTTTAACTTTCTTGTACATTTTGCTTCCAATTATGAACACAACTACAATATGCAAACAGAAACCAAAAGCAACTCAGGATTAAATTAAAATAGTGGCAAATAATTTGGTATGGAAACTAAGTCAAGGAGTTAATCAGGGTGGGAATAAGGCTCCTAAGAAGCAACACAATTTTCTATTCACATGCTATCATACAGTAAGAACAATCAAATCAATACCAGCAGACTGCTTCTATTCAAGATAAAAAACTAAATCTGGAAACTCTTACTTACTCTTACAGTAAGTGCTCAGTGGGAGGTTAGTTTGAGTGAGGGGCGGTCAAAACAAAGGCAATTTAGGACCTTGACTCTGGCCTTGCTGTAGGGGCTTTGTTTCAGGAGTTCAGGATGCTACAGCTCACATCATGCAGGCTCTGCCTGAACTGCAGGACTCACCAAGGTGTCCTCTGCTCCCAGGCCCAGGCACATTGCTCAGCCTCATCATCCCACATGCAGGGCAGGACACAGGAAAACCCCACAGCCCCCATCCAACCTGGGCTGGGCTCATGGGCAAGGCTCCCTGGTAGCCAGGTGGGCTCAAAGGACAAGGACCATGAGGGATACTGTAATACCTAATGTCACCCCCTGTTTCTTGGTCAACAATGCAAGTGCTTGGGAAGTACTGACATATCAAGTATGGGATTTCTCCAGTGCAGGGACAATTACCTCATACAGTTTACAAACCTGGACTGGAGATACTGTCCAAAACACACATTTTCTTGTCCAAAACACACATTTTCTGAGAATTCTTACCCCACATTCAAAAGATCTATTTGTACACACCAGTAATCCAAGACACATAGGCAGTAATTTACATAATGTACAGAATTCAAAGATATAATCATATCTCACCCCAGCCCCATCTGACACTCCTTGTAAATCAATCTCTTCTGTAAAAGTGTGTACTTTGGATTAATCCCACCCACCTCCCACCCAAGAAAAAAATTTAAGTCAAAAATTGCAGAAATGATCAGGTACTAGACGTCAATACCTGGAGATTTCTATCACATTTTCATTATTCTGAGATGGCTATCATCTAATTACCAAGGCAACAGGATGGCAAGAAATTCACCTACCCAAGGCAACAGCCATGAGGATAGCAGGGACTCCAAAAGCGAGCGGGTAACATTCCTGTTTGGTATGAATGCCACACTCTGAAGCTGAAATAAAAAGTAGCATCAAATAAAAGTCCCAGTCAGCACTGCTGATGTTTTCCACATGGTTTCTGTTCTTTGCATTCACTGTTAACTCACGGGGGAACAACAAACCTCTCTGCTGACATCCTCGGAGTGTAGAATCAGTATCCAACTTATCTTTTATTATAGGAAAGGGGAATTATGTGTCACAGAAGGGTTTGAGTTGGAAGGGACCTCAGGGGAATCATCCAGGCCAATGCTCTGCTCAACTAGGGCTACCTGGAAGCAGCTGTCTAGGACTGTGTCCAGATGGCTTTTGAGTGTCTCCACAGATGGAGACTCCACAACCTCTCTGGGCAACCTGTTCCATTTCTTGGTCACCCTCAGAATGAAGAAGTGTTTCCTGATGTTCAGAGGGAGCCTGTGTTTCAGTTTGTGTCCATTGTCTCTTGATCTGACACTGGATACCACTGAGGAAAGCCTAACTCCGTCCTCTTCACACTTTCTCATCAGGTATTTTTATCCTTTGATAATATGTCCCCTTTTCCTTCTCCAGGCCAGTCTTATGCCTCTCAGGATATTCTCACAGGAAATTTACATCTAGTTTTACACTGAGACATGAAGAATTACACTAGAAGGGTCAAAAACATGTCTTTAGTGAGAAAGGAACTAGACTACAGAAGTTTTGGGCCAAAAAAATCCCAAACACCAGTCCACTCCCCTCCTTGGTGTTAGTCATAGATTTGACTCTATTGACTTTAAGCACACATCCTTAAGGGATGCTCTGAGTACAAACATAGCTACTTGCAGTATAAAATAAAAGACTAAACAAAATTATTACATTCTTTACCATACTTCTTCTAAGAGGAGTATTAAAGAGTATGGTTTGGAAAATAATGTTAGCTTGCAGATAATTCATGTCTTGATTTAGTTGTGTTTGTCTTTTGTTTAACCTTTACAGGATATAACAGTTTATCACTTCCCTCACCTCACTTTGTCATTTTTTTTCCCCAAGGTATTTTTCACCCTGAATCAGCAAGGAAGTAAACCACATGCTGCGCCTTATGCATCTCTACTTCCTGTTTTGGGAAAGGGTAGAATTTTTCATTACACAAACATCTAAAACTCTTCTACAGAGTCTTTTCCAGTCAAGAAATCCAAAGGCCAGAAGTTCAGCCCAGTGCTTTGGGTTATTCCAGAATTCACATGCTGTTTCCTTGCTTTTGACTAAAGCAGCCTTCTGAAACTGCTGGCAAATGCCTCCACACAGCACCATCTATGCAAGCTTGCCACAGAAATCCATTTGCATGTAGGTTAGCAAATTGCTGGGTTTTGTTTAGGATCATGCTATTCTTTACAAGCAAAAGAGAACATAACTTTCTCATTTAACAATATGAAAAAATATTTACTTTCTTACATAGATTAATATATTCCTGCATGCATAGATTATTCTGTACTTAGCATGGTCACCCTTCCAGAGAAGAAGGCTCTCTCTCCTTCCTTTCTCAGGAAGGAATACAATTCTTTCTAGTGTGATAGTTTTAAAAGTATTGGAAGAAGTGACACATTTGTACCTTTGTGGAATTAAAACGTGCATTAGGCATGCAAACTGCTACTTCCAGCATGTCTTTTCAGATCTAGTACTTCTGATCCTAAAGGCAATTGTGCTTTTCAGCTGGCTTGTTTTTGAGAGTACCTCATCTCTGAGAAGACAGATGATACACAGAAGACTATTTGCTAGATAACTCCAATGTGTCAGAGAACAGAACTTTAAATTAACTAACTGGACTGCAATCCAACCCTCCTTTTCTGGTGTTCAACAATTGTCAACAAACATGTGACCTTACCTCTGATAGTTGGAGTGACTAGAGTAGATAAGAGACTTCCAGCATTAATGGACAAATAAAAAAGAGAGAAGAAGGTACTTCTTTGCTTTTCCTACAGTAAAAACAGAAAGATGTTTAGAAAAGTTTTGCCACAACCGCATTGATGAGCCTGAATAAAAAAATCAGCACCTCTGGTTCAAAGTTCAGGACAAATAATTAACTAGCTCCTTCTTCAGTTCCTCAGGAAAACCCTGCAGTAATGCACCTGTCTAAACATGTATATTATTAGAATAATAGTCAATTTCATTAGAATAATAGTAAAACATTAGATAGAGTATCTGTATAACTGAAAATCTGAAAGACATTGTTACCTGATCATCTTCAAATTGATCTCCACCAAATGCTGACACACAAGGTTTGATCCCACCAGTACCGAGGGCAATAAGGATTAAGCCAATCATGGACAGAGCACTGGAACAAGGGGGAAAATAAAAAAAAAAAATTGTGTTAGTTCTTAAAGCATACATAATAGACTGGTCGAAAGAGAGTTGAAATTCAAGTAGCATAAATTTAAGTTGTCTCATCCTCCACCAGCCTGGGAAAAAAAAAAGAGAAATGTGTACAAGGTAACTCACACATTCACTGCTATATGATCAGGAGAGCCATCCTGGTTCTGATCCGTCAGGTCACTTATGGAGCCCACAGACAGCACTACCTGCCCAATCGCATAAACAATGGACAGGTAGAGAATGGTCCTGTTGTCAAGAGAGGAGATACATTTCCTTAGACATGCTAACACAATTATACACAGATAATTACACAGCTAATGCAGACTTTTGCTTACTTTAAGAATTCCTGGTAATGAAAAAAGACTAACAGATACAAGTTATGAACTGAACTTGTCAGAAGCTACTGTAAAAATCTGGCCACACGCCACTGGCACAATATTTCTATTCTTTTTATTATTATTATTATTTTTCTAGGTAGCCTTTAGAGCCTTTAAGTCTTGCTTTAGGTAGCAAGTCAAGATAACAAGTGGATTCTATGGGTATCACCAGGTCACAGGAAATAAATATCATCAGTGGTTGCCTTTTTAATGACCAACTCAGGAATGTCGTTTTAATATTTTTTATATGCTGAATGGACTGCTCTGCAACACTGAAATCTGAAATTTACACTGATTTAAGTATCATTAAACATTCACTGTTATTTTATATTTCCATTGCAGGGGTAAAGAAAAAAGAAAAATCAAAAATCTGCTTCAAACACAGAAAATCCCCTGAAATACTTTGTGAACCAGAACACTATACCACCGCCCTCTTGGCTGTAAGCATATCAACATTTTTATGCTCAGATCTGAATGAGAGCAACAGCAAAGAGTGCAGGCTGCAAGCTTTCAGCCTGACTTCCTCTGCCAGGAGGTGCCTAGGATGACAGTATGCATAATTACCAGCGCCCCCCACCCCAGATTTAGGGTCCAATCCTCTTTTCTGTAAGTAAAAACGTGTTCTATTTTGACTTTGTTGGACCTTAAGTATACAGCTGTAGTTTAACCCATGTTCACTTGTGTCCTTGGGTGGGGCTCTGTTCAATAGGCACGGACAGAGGTCTCCAGTTTGGAGGAAAATCAGGAGAAACACAATGCAATGTTGTGAAATTATTTAAAAACCCTGTTTCCAGGAGTAGTCCCAAACCCAGTGCAAGGCCTGATAATGAAGGACAATTCTCAAAGACCTAGAACAATCCAACTATTTGACATAGGCAAGAGATCCTCAAAGCAAGCTTGGAGCAGCACCCTGACACAAGAGGCACATTGACCAAATTCCCCTCACTTTAAAACAAGGTTTCTCTGACTTAAAATTGCCCTC